CGGTGCTCTCACTTGATGTTTATTGACTCCGACAAATAACAATAAGTCATTGGCATACATAAGGTGAGTTAAAGGCGGACTTTCTCGCGCTACCCTTATACTTGCAATAACCTTCAGATCCTCTGCTCTAGATAGAATTTTAGAAAAAAGTTCAGTATAAATCACAAATAGATATGGCGAGATTGGAGTAACGCAAAGGACTTGTGCATTAGTAGTGCAGTCCTTTTTTCTGAATAATATATCTAGCGTTGCATGTGTTAATTAGGTACAATCACGTTGTTATTTTGTTCATTATTTAAGCCCAGGGAATCACAAAAAAAAATTTTAAAAAAAAGTGGGACAAAAGCTCATGTTGCTGTCATTGTAGGTATACCAGACAAAAGCTTTTGACTTGACAGGAGGCCCGTCCGTCGCACAGATTCTTTTATTGACTGTTTTTTGTGAATAAATAAATAGTTATAAACTTTAAGCAAGTGTTTGATATATTCCGGAAATAAAATTATTGGAAAAAGGATAATTATTTAGACTTGTAATTTTACTAGCGGTCGAGAAGATTTATTGTAACACGAAGAAAAGATCAAAATGTAGTATGAATTGTTAATTTTTTCGTGTTTTCTTTCATATTAGATCATATTTCTTTTTTTTTTTATATTTAGTTAATTTCATGCTAATTTTTGGAATAACCAAATGTGGATGTATCGTATATCACTTTTTGGCCGCTTGCATTCTAGGAACACAATTCTCTTAAAAGTGTCAGCTGAATAATAAAATCGTTTTAAATAAAATATGAGAAAAGAAACGTCTTTTAAATGCAATTTCTATCCGCTCTAAGTATTAATGCTATTTTGCATATTTTAAGCCCGAATTGCCTCAATAATAATTGTCAAGCAATAATCCAAAGGGAAAATAACAAAAACGGTCCATAAACTTTGACCCAATGTGTTTAGTAATAATTGTCGTACTTGGACTTTTAATTTGTTCAATGCGGTCTGTGAAACTATTGGTAAATGTTTTATGTAGTTTTTCATTTTGCTCAAATGACAAATTAGACGTTATTTGATGACGCAAATTATTATATGCTAAGTTAGATGTTTATAATGACGAGTTGATATGTCCATCTTTTTATCCAATTAATTTAGAAAATGAAAAATAAAATTAGAGTGTTGCCATGCCCATCGTTACTTGATGACGTGAATTATTATATCTTGATTTGAGACAAATATTTTGTGTGTATAATCCATGTGTATTTTTTTCTGTTCCACCATTCAAATTTAACGGATTGTAAGTCACATAAATAGATTTCGTTAACTGGAATTAACAGTATGACGACATTAAACATATTCATATAGTCTATGTACTAGATTGAACATTTAACAATAGTTCGGGGACCACATTGAGCAAATTAAATATCCAAGAATGACATTGTAAAGTGGACCAAAGTTCTGGGACCAATTTTGTCATTTTCCCTAATTCAAATAATGTTGCAAACTTTCGTCCAAAAAAAAAAAATGTTCCAAACTATTCAAAATTTATTTTCTTTTTCAATTTTTTATTTTTATATATTTAGGCATTGACTTCTGTTTAGTTTTTTTTTTTTGGTAACCCAGGGAACCTCCGCACGGTCGACAGCCGGGGAGTAAACCCTGGGGGCGACACGTGCTAGCCACCACACACGTGCCACCGATTAAGTTACCCTGCGGCGCCCGGAATTCGAACACTCAACCTTTTGCGAGAGGAAGAGTGCGCGCTCCAACAGCGCCACCCAGGCGGGTGGTGACTTCTGTTTAGTTTTGATTGCTTCTAAAACCAATATGTATGTATGTATGTCTGCATGAACTTTTGAGGCCTCTTAAAATTATCAGAAATTTTTCGTAATTTCTTAAAATCGAGGTATCTACTTTGTTTTTTTTTTTTTTTTGCGAAAGATGATTTCTTTTGCCTATAATAAAGTAAGACAATCGGATTTTGAAGATGTCAACTACTTTCACCCACAAAAATAAAAGAGTTCCAAAGCAAATGAAGAATAAAACACATTAGGGTATGTCTAGTAACGTTTTCTGTTCCTCGAAACAATTTCTGTTCAGAAATAATTTTCCTCTATTTCTATTCCCTAGACGAGTTTCTGATAAAAAAGACGCGTTTAGTAACTACACAAAATTTTTATTCTCGGAGTAGAAAAAGAATAGAAATGCATTTGGTGGGACACTAAAAATTTCTACTCCCATTTTTTTCATTTAATTATAAAATTGTCGATGGAGACTTAACAATTCATGTTTGGATAAAATTGGACTAGAAATAGAATAAGAATATATTATGATATAGAATTGGATGACATTAATACAATTATAAAAAAAATTACTCCTTATAGACAAAGCAAATACCGGGTGGTGATCGAGGAAATTGCAGTTTATAGGACTTAACAATTCATGTTTGGATAAAATTGGACTAGAAATAAAATAATAATATATTATGATACATAATTGGATGACCTTAATATAATCATAAAGAAAATTGCTCCTTATAGACAAAGCAAATACTAGGTGGTAGTTGAGGAAATTGCAACTTTGGGCGTAGGATTTTAGGATTTGGGGTTAGGGGTTAGGGTTTTAGGATTTCGATTTTGAGGTTTAGGGTTTGGGGTTTAGGTTTTGAATTTTAGGGTTAGGGTTTATGTTTTAGAGTTTTGGGTTTGGGGTTTTGGGTTTAGTGTTTCGAGTTTCGGATTTGGGGTTTAAGGGTTTGGGTTTAGGGTTTTAGGGATTCGGGTTTTGGGTATTGGTGTTTGGGATTTAGGGTTTATGGTTTACAGTTTAGGGTTTGGGATTTATGGTTTAGGGTCAAGGTTTTGCGGTTTAGCGTTTAGGATTTAGGGTTTGGAATTACGATTTTAAGGTTTAGGTTTTAGGGTTTCGGATTTGGAGTTTTGCTGTTTAGGGTTTGGGATTTTAGGATTTGGGTTTTAGAAGGTTTAGGGTTTGGGTTTAGGGATTTTGGGTTTTGGGGTTTTAGGGTTTGGTTATTGAGGTTTAAGGTTTTGGGTTTTAGGGTTTAGGATTTGGGGTTTAGGATTTAGTATAAGAATATCTTTTGGAAGAGAAAGCTGATCTTGTTTCTCTTTTGGGTTAATATCACAAAAAAACTCCAAACTGGTACACATATGACAAATTTACCCTGAACTAATTTTTTGACCATAAAAAATCCCAAACTGGTACACCGGTGACAAATTTACCCCGAACTAATTTTTTGACCACTAAAAATCCCAAACTAGTACACATATGATAAATTTACCCCGAACTAATTTTTTGACTATAAAAAACCCAAACTGGTACACCCGTGATAATTTTACCCCGAACTAATTTTTTGACTATCAAAAATCCCAAACTAGTACACTTGCGATAAATTTACCCTCATTTAAATTGGATTAATATCATGAAAAATCACAAATTTGTAAACTTGTGACAAATAGATGGATAAAATCCTAAATTAGTACACCCATCAATTACCACATGTCATCAAACTAGCAAATTCGATAGTAAAATTTAACGGAAACTAACAGAGAGTAAATTTGTCACAGATATACTAGTTCGGGATTTTTTGTGGTAAAAAAATTAGTTCGGGGTAAAATTGTCACAGGTGTACTAGTTTGGAGTTCTTTGTGGTCAAAAAATTAGTTCGGGATAAGATTGTCACAGGTATACCAGTTTGGGGTTTTTTGTTGTCAAAAAATTAGTTGAAGGTAAATTTATCATAGGTGTACCAATTTTGGGTTTTTCGTGATATAAACCCTTCTCCTTTTGTTCCAGAAACAGAAAAGTAGATTTTTTTTACTTCTTATTTCTGTTCCAAATCTATTCCCTGATCAATTTTCTATTCCGGGAAACAAAAAAACAGAGAAACAAAAACATTACTAAACATGCCCTTAGTCAACAAAATGGATTAATAACATCCTTCTCTAGAAAAAATTATAATTGATCACTGCTAAAACAAGCTGCCACGTGTCATCCTCTCGTTTTGCATTTATAATTTATATATCTTGTTAATTAATTTTTTCTTAATGTCTAAAGGGAAAAAATGGTTTGAACAAAGGAAAAATAAACAAAGAATGGTTTGCATAAAGAAACGGATACTTTTGTGAGCAAAAAAAATGAATACCTTGGTTTTGGGGACATGTTTCTTTTTATTTGTTTAGTTAGTTGGACATGCGCCATTCCAAGAGAGAACCCCACGTCAATCGTTCAAAGCTCCTTTGCGTTTGCACCAAAATACATAAAATTTCTAGAATAGTGGTAGGTTTTATCATAAAAGTGAACAAAATTCATCTGCTATATCATATAGCATGCTGTGTACTTGGATAGTTATTCTGATTTCAATTTTAATTGTATCATCTGAAAGAAGAGCCATTGTGCTTCTCTTGGGTTTTCTACAATCTTACTAGATTAGATCCTTGAAATCGCCAAATAGATTTCCGGCGAGCCACGTCAGCTTAAGAAATTAATAAAAAAAGGCCACGTTGAATTTCCGGCCAAATAGATCGGAATTGCCACCGAAAAGATGGTTTTTCAAAAAATTAGCACTAAAATGAGCGCCGTACCCAACTTTTGGCACTTCTTTTGTGCTTCTCCCCATCTTTCTATGCCATGAAATCCTTTGTTTTCTTTCTCTAGTTTCAGGCATCAGCAGAGGCAAAACTTCCAGATTTAGAACCAGTGAAGATCGCCTTATCTTCTTTATCCGCACAAGCACCAAATGAACCGGACAATGCACCCTGAATGCCCACTAATTGGTTTGATCTTGCAGGGGCCAGCAGCACTCATTTCCACTAATAACCCCTCAGCCAGTATCGTTCTTACTTGTCGCAGCATCATACATCAGTCTACTCTAATAAACCTCAGCAATCCACAAGAAGTTCTCGACGAGTGAGGCTAAAGGATCACTGGCTCAACTTTGGCAAAGCACGACGAATATCGTACAGTTCGGTCTCTATAGCTGCTAAATTAATATAACAATCATGTGAGACCACCTTTATAGAGACTATATGTGCATAAGATCGTAAAAACTTTTGGCAACCGGGTATACGTGCGCTTAGTTCATCTTTTTTCATCTTGAAATACATTTTAGGCAGCATTGATTCAAATTCAAAGCAACATATCTCTGTAACTACTGACTAGAGACTTGCACATCAAGATGGATAATCTTGGAAGCAAGAGACTTATTATTCTTGCAAGCCACAGCTCGGTTTTGTGCTTGGAGCGACGCCCTCCATCCACACCTCTCAATGGTTTGAACAAGCAATCTGGTTTTTTGGGATCGACGGGCAGTCATGGTTTGATACTTGGACTTAGATCAATGATAAGTACAACATGGACACCTATTTGTGCAGGCTTACTGAGGGCGAGGAATCCTTTTCACAAAGCTTCCAAGCAGCACCAATCTTCTATCCATCTCAAAAAATTTGTTCTACACTTCATTTGTATCAACGGTCATCGCAGTAGAGGGACTTTTTGAATGGACGGTGATTCCAACCGACTCTCTACAGACTCCTCAACCATTTCCTCTTTAGCCTTCCCCCACATTACAATATAGAACCCAATGGACAGTATGGCCGCTCCTATAAGACTGCGAATTCATGGCAGACAAAAGCAGATGCATGCAAGGCATACATAGTACAAGAACTTGATTAGCTTATCTTTGCATACAATAGAAAGCTTAGTGCGTCGATGAAAACCAATTATACACTTTATACACATTGAATACAGATTGACTGCCGGGGTATTGATACATATTTGAAATTTTCTACCTAATCAACAAGGACAAATTTCTTTTACCAAAAAAAAAAGCAAGGACAAATTTTTGTCTGTCAAGAGTTATGTGGAAAGCGCGTGTTATGTTATGGTGATTGGTTTTCCAAATTATATATATGCAGCACGTCTATTGATTGATCATCACGTGGATGAAATCAGGAATAGATCCTAATTTCAGCGAGATGGATGTTTAATCATTTTTTTGGCATTCAAGATAATGTAGAACTCAGATGTTTTCGTGCTATATCTTACCTTCCCAGATGAAGTGTGTCTCCAAGAAAGAAGACACCCATGGCAACAGCTATGGGAATTGACAACGGCTTGAACATCGCGACATAGAAAGGCCCTTTCAACCGGATTGCCCATGTGTGAACGATGCTGGATAAGCATCGTTCAACGAGGCCCTACAAGCAAAGCAAAGAGGAGGGAAAGTCAGCATTGCACACAGTTTTCATTAATCAAATGTGATAAAGTTTGTTCGATTGTTTCCTCACCGACAATATTACCGAGGCCAGTCCTATACCCTGCACTCTCCAAGCACTCATATCATGTTCCGTCACAAAGCAGACAATGGCGGTCATGAAGGTCACAACCACAGCGTAAAAGAAGATTACGGTCAGTTCTGCCGGATACACCTTCATTATCTGTTTCTGCAGGATCAAGTGTTGAATCTCCGATCATTTCCAAGTGAAGTTCTAACTATAGCACTCGCAAAACAAATTGAAAACATGTATAGTATACCAGAAGAATGTACCACAAAGTGATCAAAATATAATCAGCAGTGAGGAGAATTCCCCCAACGACCCAGTTCGAGTTCGATGCGTGCACAAGTGGATAAGGCGAGAGAGAAGGTTTCGGAGTGAAGATAACTGGGGGACCTCTATAGAGAGTGATGACAGATGCGCCGGTAATTGACAGTACGGTCCCGATGATCTTGGCCTGACTGCTTCTTTTGTTCAATGACACCTCCTCCATCCTTTTTAGACAATAAAAACAAGCAAAGATTGAATGGAAAGGCATGAACTCTGTTGCACAAGCTCTAGCTTTAGCCTTCAGGTAACTAAGCTGTCTTACAGAACTATTAACACTTTGTCCAACAAGTCAGCATTACGACGTAACTTACATAAGAACAGCATTAACAAACAACCAGTGACTCTTGCCACATGCCTTAATCGTCCAACATCGAATGTTAACAAGGTTTAATCTGGATTTGCCAAATATGGAGCCAATTAACAACATAAGCTTGTGGAAGGACAAAATAAGCAAAGTCATAAGATCACAAAATCAGGAGAATCATGACGAAGAACCAGAACAACAATCTATTTACGAGGAAAAGTACTAGAATCGGGAAAATGTCATTCAAGGAACCACAGACAATTACTATTGAAATACAGCAATCTTTTTGGACCTGAAAAGGATGGCAAGTATGAAAGTGAGAGCTGGAGTGAGGTTGCTGATGGCTGAACCAAGAGTTGGAGAACTCAGGCTAATCCCAGCATAGCCCAAAATCTGTGAAAAACCCCTGCTCTCCCATTAAAAAGAGAACAAGAAAAAAACCAGAACATAAGAATAATAAGAGACAACAGTGAAGCAGGCTAGCAGCACAACCAATCCAAACACCTTTTCTCATTTTTCTCCACAAAATTCAAGAACAAATTCGCACTAATCTAGTGGAAGTAACAGCATAGACACGGGCAATGTGCAGTCGCAGACATATCCGAAGTTCAATATTCCAGGCAATAACATTGTAAGTGACCCATCTGGTCCTACTGCCAAAAAGATATTGTCTGCCCTAATCGTGGCTCACCCGCGGCAACAGGATGTCAAAACACATAGTAATTCATTCAAAAGTAAAAAGAAAGAAACTGTGCACTAAGATTTGGCATGAGTAAAGTTATTGAATTGTGAATACCCAACGAGCCCAAGAAGGCCAATTTTCGCAAATATGGCCAAGCTGAGAGGAGGAAGCACTCTTGATCTGCAAAGGCACACAACCGAATCAACCACGTCTCACCACAATTCATGAACTTCTTCTTGTTTTTGCACTTTGTACATACATATAGCAGAGAGAGAGAGAGAGAGAGAGAGAGAGAGAGAGAGGGGTACATACTTGAGAGAGAAGAAAGGAGCCGGGAGGAGAAGAAGAGAAGCAATGGCGTAACCATAGACGAGGAAAACGTGGGAGCTCATCCCTCTCGAGTTGGCCGCCTTGAACAGCGTGGTCGCGCCCACCGCGATGCTGTCCACGGTGATCACAACCGAAAATGGAACCAACTCCCTCTGACACCACTCTTTCCGACCCATCTCTCCCTCTCTCTCTCTCTCTCTCTCTCTCTCTCACTCTCTCTCAGAGACCACACTCAGGCAACCAAACACACAGCGCAACAGAGGTTTCAGTCCCAGACTCCCAATTTATTGGGTGATGGACTGTCGGACAAATGAAGATTGTCTGTGTTACTTGCCGTGACGCCAAAGGTCGTTGACTAACGCCACCAACCATATTTGACCAGAAAGATGGGCTAATGCCACTAAAACCTCCAAGCCGGGTAGATACATTGTGTCAAATTTATCAATAATTAATTTTTGTATCATAAAAAATCATAAACCGGTATATCTGACGTGGCACGAATGTATTAATTGATGGTTTATGGCGGTATTAACCCCGGATTGAAATAGGAAAGTTGTCACTTAGTCCTTTAATCTGTGCTGTTTCCTAAATTCATCGTACAAACTTTTCTTGATTTAATTCATTAGTTTAACTTACTTGATTTTTCGAAAGCCTTTTCATAGTTAGCACATTCTGTTAGGTTACGCGGCATTTAACACGGCGCGCTCTTATATGTGCAAATAAATCTCTGTAAAAAACCGAAGAAAGATTGAAATTCAATTCCATCCCAACTACAATAATTCAACAATGAGCTCCGGTTCTCCTCCTATGCCTTGCATTGATCAAAGACGCCCTTGTTATCTGTACACTCAAAATGCAGGTTCTTGGAGCAGAAGGCTTCATACTTAGCCGGGAAAGCTATGTCATCGATGTTCCTGACAACAAGCTCAGCACAACGCCCTTTAACATCTGGTTGGAGCAAACATCCGAGATCTCCAGGACGTCGACCGCGCCGGAAACGTTCAGATTCTCGAGCATGCGCCGTTCGCAAGACTCGAGCAAATATGGGATATTGTACTCAGGGCTCGCGGGCGACATCAAGTAGATGTGCTTGTCCATTTTTCAAGGCTCCATTTATTGAGGAACTCCACGAGCGATGGTTTATTACTCAACACTCCAGTACAGACCCCTCAGTATTAGAAATTGAGGAGCGCTATCATCACTCCCCAGTAAGAACATTACTCAAACCTAGAGTATCAACTAGCAGAAGAGTTCATCAAATAAAGCTTAGAAAGAGATATCCCTGAAGCTAATAAGCAAAACCAATAGCTTGATTCTGGTACTATACAGCAGATACCCTCCGCTGCTCGCAAAGGAGTCTATCTGATTCGAACAGAGGCCTCCTTCATGTACCAGCATCTGCATCCTAACTCGAACCGCAAACACGATACTTCTAATTACTGAAGCAACACATGGAATTACTCCCTTATGAAGGACATCATTCCTCTCTTTCCAAATGAAGCAAATCGATCCATTCCTTTCCACAATCAAAAGTGTCTTCACAAATGCCTTACCTTTTAACTGTTGCAAAACCCAATCAAACTCCGAGCTCCAACCACCAATAACTCTCTAAAGTCCACTTAAGTTCAGCAATCGGCAACTCCCCCCAAACTTGTTTAGCAAAACAAAATTCACAAAAAATAGGCAGTCTAGTCTCTTGAGCTATTCCACATAACAAGCATTGGTCATTGATTTGCTGCCATTTTTTTACTCTATCTAGTGTTTGCAATCTGTTATGAACAGCCAGCCATGTGATAAGAGCAAATTTTGGCACATTTGGGTGAAACCACACCATTTTGTGCCATGAAATCCTCTGTTTTCTTTCCCTAACCAGGTTCCAGGCATCAAAAGAGGCAAAACTTCCCACGATCCAGAACCAGTTAAGATCACCTTATCTTCTTTATCAGCATGAGTAGCAAATGAACCACACAATGCGCCCTCCATGCCCACTAATTGGTCTGATCTTGCAGGGGGCCAACACCACTCATTTCCTCCAATAACCTCAGCCAGCTTAGCATTCTTACTTATAGCAGCATCCTACATTAGTCTATTCGAATCAACCTCAGCTAGGATACCCCGAGGGTGCCCATTGTCAGACCACACAGGCTTAACTTTAGCAAAGTACGACGAAATACAGTCTGGTTGCTATAGTTGCTGACTTCTTATAACAACGTGAGACCACCTTTATAGTGACTATATTTGCATAGGATCGGAAAAACTATTGTTTAAACCGGGTGTATGTGCACTCAGTTCATGCCATTGTCGGAAAAAAGAACGTTTAACATCATCTTTTTTCACCTTGAGATACATCTATAGCAGCGTTCATTCAAATAAACGAAACATATATCTGTAGCTGCCAACTAGAGACTTGTCCATACGCTTGGTTGATTGAGATTAAAGAATAATTTTACTGGCTTAGCTTAGCATAGCACGAAAGAAATTGGGGGGTTTTGGTAGCTGTAGCTGCCAAAATGTCATTGCAATTCCATGAGGTCATATTCATAGAAACTTTACAATCATAGGATCGGATTACTTCTGACCTAAATTGGGTGCATGTGAATTTAGTTCATGTCGATGTCGGAAACATAACGTTAATCCCTCTTATATTTTCACCTTGAAGCACATGTATGGCAGAAATCATTCAGATGAAAAGCAATACTTCTCTGTAACTACTAATTAGAGACTCGTACATTAATCTGGACTCCATTGGAAGCAAAAGAGTTTTTATCGTGCATGTCACGGCTCATAATTGTGCTTGGAGTAATGCCTCTCATCAACACCTCTCCATGGTTGAAACCATGGTTTGAACTAGCAACACGGTTTTGTCGACGGGCAATCATGATTTGATTCCTTTGGACTCAAACCAGGTTTGCAATCCGGTATGAACAGACAGCCATTTGATAAATGAAAATTTTGGCACATTTGGCTCTATGAAATTCTCTGTTTTTTCCCCCTAACCAGGTTCCAGGGATCAACAGAGGCAAACCTTCCGGATATAGAACCAGTGAAGATCGCATTATCTTCTTTAGCAGCAGCAAATGAACCACACATTGCACCCTGAATGCACACTAATTGATCCGATCTAGCAGGGGGCCAGCACCACTCATTTCCTCTAATTACCTCAGCCATCTTAGCATTCTTACTTGTAGCAGCATCATACATCAGACTACTCGAATAAAACTCAGCTAGAACACCCTGAGGGTGCCAATTGTCAAAGCACAAGAAGGTTTCTCGATTAGGGTGACTAAAGAATGATTCAACTGGCTTAACTTTGGCGAAGTTTGATGAAATTGTACCATCTGGTCACTATGGCTGCCAAATTCGTGTAACAATAAAGTGAGACCACCTTCGTAGAGACTACATGTGCATAGGGTCAGAAAAACTTTGGGCCAAAACCAGGTGTGCGTGCACTTAGTTCATACCATTGTCAGAAAAAAATAACGTTTATCATCATCGTCCTTTTTTCACCTTGATATACATTTATAGCAGATTCATTCAAATAAAATGCCACATATTTCTGTAACTACTGACTAGAGACTTTGTACAGATAACAATGGACTGTATTGGAAGCAAGAGACTTAATATTCTCGCATGTCATAGCTGGGTTTTGTGCTTGGAGTGATGACCTTCATCCACACCTCTCGATGGTTTGAACAAGCAATCCGGTTTTTGGGATCGATGGGCATTCACAATCTGATTCCTTTGGACTCAGATCAATGATAGATATGGCACTGACACCTATTTGTGCAGGCTTATCGAGGTTGAGAAAAAAACTTTCACAAAGTTTCCAAGCAGCACCTATCTTCAATCCATCCTTGGATATTTGTTCTACTATTCATTTGTCTGAACTTTCTCGAAGTAGAGGGACTTTTTGAAAGGATGGTGATTCCAATCGAATCTCTGCAGACTCCTCAACCATTTCATATTTCCCCTTCCCCCACATTACAATATAGAACCCGATGACAGTATGGTCGCTCCTATAAGACTGCGGATTTGCAGCAGACAAAAGCAAATGTCATTCAAGAAGTACATAGTACAAGAATGTAATTAGCTTATCTTTTCATACAGTACAGAACTTAGTGCATCGATGAAAACCAATAATGCTCTTTATACGCATGGCAAATGGAAAGACTGGGGGCGGTAATTTTTGTCTGTCATGAGTTCTGCGGAAAGTGCATGTTATCTTATGGTGATTGGTTTTGCAAATTATCTGTGCAGCACATCTAAGCCACGTTGATTGATCATCACATGGATGAAGTGTGATGGACGTTTAATCAATTTCTTATCATTCAACATAGTGTAGCCCTCAATGTATTCGTGATTTACCTTACCTTCTGAGATAAAGTGTGTCGCCAAGAAAGAAGATACCCATGGCGACAGCCATAGGAATCGACAATGGCTTGAACATCACGACATAGAAAGGGCCTTTCAACCGGATTGCCCATGTGTGAACGATGTTGTTTAAGCATTGTCCAAAAAGGCCCTAAAAGCAAAGCAAAGAGGAGGGAAAGTAAGCATTGCACCCGACTTCTATTAATCAAATGTGATTGTTTGATTGTTTCCTCACCGAGCATATTACAGAGGCCAGTCCTATACCCTGCACTCTCCAAGCATTCATATCGTATTCCATTACTAAACAAACAATGGCGGTCAGGAAGCTCATGACCCCATTGTAAAAGAAGATTACGGTCATTTCTGCCGGATACTCCTTCATTATTTGTTTCTGCACGATCATGTGTCGGATCTCCCATCATTTTCAAGTCAAGTTCTAAATGTAGCACCTGCAAAACAAAATGAAAATAGGTATAGTATACCAGAAGAATGTACCACAAAGTGACCAAAATATATTCAGCAGTGAGGAGAATCCCCCCAACGACCCAGTTTGAGTTTGATGAGTGCTCAAGTGGATAAAGTGAGAGAGAAGGTTTCGAATTGAAAATGATCGGAAGGCCTTTATAGAGAGTGATGACCGATGCACCAGAAATCGACATTACAGTCCCAATGATCTTAGCCTGACTGCTTCTTCTGCTCAGTGACACCTTCTCATTCCTTTTTAGACAAGAAAAACAAACAAAAATTGGATGGAAAGACGTGAACTCGGTTAAACAAGCCCTAGCTTTAGCCTTTAGGCAATTGACTGTTTTATAGAACTATTAACACTTTGTCCAACAAGTCAGCATTACTACGTAAATTACATCAGAACAGCATTAACAAACAACCAGTGACTCTTGCCACATGCCCTAGTCGTCCAACATCAATCGTTAACAAGGTGTAATCAGGATTTGCAAGATATAGAGACAATCAACAACATAAACTTGTGGAAAGACAAAATAAACAGTCATGAGATCACAAAATCAGGAGAATCATGACGAAGAACCAGAACACGGTCAATTTACAAGGAAAAATACTAGGATGGGAAAAGGAACTTTTTTGGACCTGAAAAGGATGGCAAGTATGAAAGTGAGAGCAGGAGTGAGATTGCTGATGGCTGAACCCAGAGTTGGAGAACTCATGCTGATTTCAGCATAGCCCAAAATCTGTGAAAAGCCCCTGCTCTGGCATTAAAAAGAGAATAAGGAAAAATCACAACAAAAGAATAATAAGAGATGAAAGAGAAGCTGTACAACCAATCCAAACAATTTCAAGAATCGGGCTCCACCCTTTTCTTGGTTCAGTCTACAATTTTAAGAACAAATTCACACTAATCTAGTGGAAGTAACAGCACACACACGGGTGATGTCCAATCGGAGACATATCTGATGCACGATATTCCAGGCAATAACATTGTAAGCACCACCCAGGTCTACTGCCAGAAAGATATTGTCTGCTCTAATCGCGGCTCACCCGCAACTGCACGATTTTGACTTATTAAAAGACAAAAGAAAAAAGATTTGCACTATGATTAGGCCTGAGTAAGGTTATGGAACTGTGCATACCCAATGAGCCCAAGAAAGCCGATTTTGGCAAGTATGGCCAACCTGAGAGGAGGAAGCACTCCTGATCTGCAAAGGCACACAACAGAATCAGCCAAGTCTTCACCATGAATCATCATGATCTTCTCGTATGTAGACATGTACAGAGAGAGAGAGAGAGAGAGAGAAACATACTTGAGAGAGAAGAAAGGAGCAGGGAGGTGAAGAAGAGAAGCAATGGCATAAGCATAGACGAGGAAAACATGGTAGCTCATCCCTCTCGAGTTGGCCGCTTTGAACAATGTGTGTTGAGAATGCGCAGCAGAAGCCCGATACCTTCACCTGGGGAGATTGCCAAGAAGGAACTCAAGTTCGAGTCCGTCAACATATCCAGTTGAACCCATCTTCACTCAAAAAGCTTAAGCCAATGAGTTATGAGTCAACTAGGATATATTATGTGACATTTTGAAATTCAACCCTTTTCGGGATATAAGAAATGATTATGTTATTGATACACTATTAGTTAAATCTCACTCTGAATTGATCACTCATGAGAGGACTAATCTTTAGGGAAAGGCTATCAAGAAATTAAGTACGCACGACCTGAGAAGTAGATCATGGGTAGACAATTCGACCATAAGGATTGTTGAGGGATCCTCATAAGCCATTTCAAGCCGATCCAGGAATGGTTATGGATCGATTCGACAATAGTATAGGATCGGGTTGCGGGTGATTCCGCACGGTTACCCTAACGATCTCGAATGACCTTAAACCAATTCCTAATGATCGTGTTCTTCGAAATGGACAATTGACCCCTTACAATTACATGACAACCGAGGTCACCCATGGCTTGAGTAAGCTTAGACGTGGTTTGTTATTGAGTCAACCACGGGTCGAATACACGTAACTCCTAAAAGTCGTTCGTTAGTTTGAGATACACTAAAGTCACAATTGATCGATTTTGGTCATGAATTAGAATCTGAAATTGGGTACCGAACTTTCAAGGGTTCCACGGCTAATCTATTGGATGTCGCCTCATTAAGCTCATCTATTTGTCAGTTCGCTCGGAAATTGTTGGAAAAGTGAAATTCGAATCGTAAGTTAGAAAAGACCTTTTCACCCCTGAGTTATTTTGAATTCTTTTGATTCTTGGAAGGGCAATTCGGTCTTTTACACCCTTCTTTAAGTGGCTGGCCATATTGGACAGTTTTATCGCTATTATCTTTTGTTATTTACATTTTTACCCTTAGTTATTTTATTAAAGCTTATCTTGGAAGATTCAATTGTGGCCCTTAGATTTTGGGTTGTGGGTCAAGATTGAATCTTGACCATCCATTTATTGATTGTGATTGATAGACCTCTCTCTCTCTCTCTCTCTCTCTCTCTCTCTCTCTCTCTCGGATAACTCTCATGGTCTCTCTCCCTTTCACTTTCGGCCGACCACCAACACCACCAGCCGTGACCCTCAATGCCAACCACCGCCACCTTCGCCGTCACTGCCGTGGCCAGCCGTCGCCGCCGTCCAGCCGCCGTGAACACCGCCACTCGCCGCCGTCACCAACACCATTTTCTCTCCCTCTCCCTCGTTCGTTCGCTTCGTATAGCCAACCACACCACCGCCACCGTAGCTGCTGACCTTCCAACCGACGCCGTCCAGCGCCGTGCGTCACTGCCGTCCGCCGCTCACCGGAGCTGTTGCACCGCCGAGGCTGCTTGCTGCCCAGTTTGCTTGGCATTTGCTTAGGTTTATTAGTAAGTTGCTTCCTATACCTTGACTAGGATGATAGATGACTAATGGATGTGATTAGTGGCTAATTTGTGGACTGATTAGGGTGCATGATAGGTGGATTAGTCATTGGTTGATCTTGATTAGTTAATGGCTAATTTAGATTTGAATTATCTGTTAGCTAATTTCGGTGTTGTGCATGGCTGATCATGCGTTAGTTTAATGGCTAATTTGGTTTATTTAATGGCTGATTGGGTTGATTTGTTGGTTAGATAATGCTATCGGTGTTTGGAAATAAATGTGTTTCATGACATCATTGTACGTAGAGAAATGTACGTCATAAACACTATGTATTGGCTAATTAAGAAAGATAAGAATCGGCATTGAGTGATTGTTATGCGTGAGTGATTGTTATGCGTGCATGGTCATGAAAGTACCGTCTAGGCGGGGGTTCTAGATGATGTTCGGTGGGGGTTCTAGACAATGTCCAGCGGGGGTTCGGATGCCGTCTAGGCGGGGGTTCTAGACGATGCCGTGTCGCGATTGATACCGGACCGATGCTCTTTTTTGGAATGCCGTCTGGTACCCGACAATTTCTGAGGGGGAGATCCCAGACGTTGCCGTGCCCGACGAAGCAGGACGATGCCCGATTATGCCGGAAGACACCGGCAGGGGCTCGGTTGTGGCCCTGAGTAGCCATTTAATAATATGGACTATTATGAGTGCAAAGTGCACGGGTGAATGCATTGTGCCTGAAAGTGATGAAAATACTTGTCTGGATTATTAATCTGATGTTGTGTCTGCTTATACACTATTAAGCCTCTGGTTTATGCAATCACGTAATCTTGTTTATGTGCTAGTTGGAGTGTTTGCCATGTTCTACAGGTTGGATGAGGCAAGGTAAAGGCACTGTTGCTAGAATTACAGGTTTAGGGCGATCCGTTAGTACGTGTCCTCCTAAGTAAGGCTTAAGGAGTTTACTTATTGAGTTTTATCACATTGTTGTTTATTAACCATTTCAGACCCCCGAGTATGAACGGCCATCCCATGCGTTTTGGTGTGCCTATGGATATGGACACAATGGTAGTTGAGTATCCATTCGGGCCGGATAGGGTCTATCCGAGGCATACGACGACTGTTTGGGTAGATGAAGGCTTTGTGGTGTGGAAACTGCATACTTTCCTAGCTTTGTTTCTTCGGGAAGGGGAAGCGTTGGTTGGTCCGATTCGGGGTTTCGATGGACCCCTCATGGTGGAGTAGGAGATGAGGTTTGGGACCCTATGGGGATCGATTTGCCGATGGGGCTATTACTGATCCTGACACCGGTCCAGACGATTCGGGTTTCGATTCGAATTACTTGGAGTCTGACCCGGAGCCTCCTCCCGTCTATGGTCAGCAGTGTCGATGGGTTTAGATATCCCATCTTTTTAACTGTCCTCTTTTGATAATGAAGCTAAGTTAACCCGACCACCCGATTCATTTTTGTTTGTGTGTGGTCCGTTAGGAAGCGATCTCGTAGTAGGCTTGTAAATTGTATCTTCCGTGGTTAACAATGTGTTTATAAAATAGCTTCGTTTGTTTGTGTATCTAAGTGTTTCCTTTAATATTCCTTTGTATGATTTTTGATCGGAGTGTTCGAGTTCGCTTCCGCATGCATTTAATTGTAAGTATAGTATATGGGTCGGCGCCGCGTCCTGGGACGTCGAGTGGGATGTTAGCGTTCCCGAGGGTCGGGGCATGACATCTCCGTTTAATTGATATCAGAGCAAGGTCAACTCGATCCAAGTTTGGTCAATACCTGGAGTGATAAGGAGCGATGGGTGTTAGGATAATTAGTTAGGAAGACCTTCGTTGATCGCAAGTATAGACGTGCTCTACCTGTCTTGTGATTGATTGCTTGTGATTGCTGGATGGTTCCCTAATATTGTTCTCAATTCCGACTTTGTGTTGGGAATGGTGAGAGCTAAGGTTCTGCTAGTTTTAGGCTTGTGATGCCTGCTCTGTGATCGTTTGCTGTGCTTCGCTGCTTAGGATTGTTTAGCTTGAGCAGGCGATTTAGGTCTCTAATTCCTTGATGGAATTATAGCAGGTTTAAGTGTTTTGTGAGTATTCTGTAAGGATGAGCAACCGAGGAATGGGGACCAGAGGCCAGTTTAACTCACAAGCAAGAGCAACGGAGGACCCTCGAGTGGATGGAGTCTTAAGAGCCCTTAAGGCGATTGGAGATTTGATGGGACAGCAGGCTCAAGAACGAGCTGTTGCTATTGCTGCTGCTGCTGAGGCTACTGCCGCTACTGCTGAGGCTACTGTCGCCGCAACTATTGATAATCCGGAGCATGAAATGGGGAACGTCAAATGCACCTACTGATGAAACAGTTTCTAAAGCTAAAGTCATCTAAGTTCAACAGAAAGGGTGATCCTGAAGCTGCAACCCTTTGGGTCAAAGAGCTGGAGAAAGCTTTTGTACTTCTGAGGTGCTCAGAGGAGGATAAGGTAGTACTGGTTGTGTACCAATTGTAGGGTAACGCTAGTGACTGGTGGGAGGCCACCCGAGGAAGGATCTTTCCGGAAGGCACGGTTCCAAACTAAGGTGCCTTTGTTGAAGTCTTCAATGGAAAGTACTTTTCAGAATGTGCTCAAGAACAGAAGATGGCATAATTTCTACGACTTCGCCAGAATCAGTTGTCGGTCGATCAGTATGAGGCTGAGTTCGCAAGGTTGTCGAAGTACGCACCAAAAATGATCGAGGACCCAGTGGATAGGGCAAGAAGATTCCGGGATGATCTGAAACCGGAGATTTAAAGTCAGTTGGTGCCCCTGAACCTTAAGGACTGCAATGAGCTGTATGAAAGGGCTTAACTGATTGAGAGGGACATGACTGATAGAGCTGCCGCATCTGGATCGCGGTAAGCGCCGGTTAGTAATAACCATCGATTCGGGAAGAAGCCGATGGCAGGGAATAGGGGTTTTGTCCCTCCTGTCAGAAAGAATATCGGAAAGCCATTATGCTTCTCTAATGCTATGTTTCGATCTTATGGAAGAAGGTACGGGAATGACTCTTGCCCAGGTAGGACTGGAGCTTGCTATGGATGTGGCCAACATGGTCATCAAGTGAAAGACTGCCTGAACCGATTAGCTAGGCCGCCAATGCAACCGCAACAACCTCGAGTGGGACAACAAGCTGGAACCGCACCGCAGAATAACCTGAACCGACCTCAGGCACAAGGAAGGGTGTATGCTATGGCAAGGAAGGAAGCAGATGATGCATCGGGGTGATCACAGGTACGGTCTCTTTATGTGATCATGCTGCCTACGCTTTATTTAATCTGGGGGCTTCGCATTCGTTTGTGTCGAAATAGTTTGTTAAGTTAACTGGGATTAAACCGAAACTGTTAAAAGTAATTCTACATGTTATCGCCCCTCTAAAAGATGAAGTGTTAATTTCAGTAGGATGTTCAGGTTGTAAGATAGTTGTCGATGGTAGGGAGGAAGTGATAGATTTAGTAGTTTTGGCGATATACGACTTTGATGTTATCATTGGGATGGATTGGCTTGTGAAGCAGAGAGCTGTGATGGACTGTAGTAGCAGGATAATCCAATTGGTCATTCTAGATACGAGTTTGTGGGAAACAGAGGAAGAACCTCGATCCCTTGTATTTCGTCACTAGAGGTGACTAAGCTGTTAGATGAAGGATGCCAAGGTTACCTGGCGACTGTGGTTGATTCGTTGGTTGAGGAACCAAGGCTAGAGGACATAGCCGAGGTGCGTAATTTTCCCGATGTCTTTCCTCAGGAATTGCCGGGATTACCACCTAAGAGAGAAGTGGAATTTGTGATTAAGTTGGCCCCTGGGACGGAGCCAATCTCTCGAGTGCGCTCCAGAATGGCATTGTCCGAGTTAAAGGAGTTAAAGGTGCAGATGCAAAAATTGCTGGATAAGGG